CTCGGCTGGACAAATAACAATGACGACTGCAACCAAAAAATAGCTGGGTGATGTGGCAGATGCCTGTAGTCCCAGCTACTTGGGAGGCGTAGGCAGAAGAATCACTTGAACCCAGGAGTTGGAGGAGTTAGAAATTGCTATGAGCTGTGATGCCACAACACTCTACCCCAAGGCAACAGCTTCAGTCTCTGTTGCAAAGAAAATAAATAAATACTAAAAATAAATAAAAACTCACGTAAGTTGTAGAGAAAAATGAATTAACAGGCTCGGCGCCTGTAGCAAAGTGGTTATGGTGCCAGCAACATACACTGAAGGTGGCAGGTTCGAACCCAGCCCTGGCCAGCTAAAAAAAAAAAATAGCCAGGCGATCCTGTGGGCGCCTGTAGTCTCAGCTACTTGGGAGACTGTGGCAAGAAAATAGCTTAAATCCAAGAGTTTGAGGTTGCTGTGAGCTATGATACCACGCCACTCTACCGAAGGTGACAAAGTGAGATTCTGTCTCAAAAAAATAAAAATTAAAAAAAAAAAAAGAATTAACAAAAAGAGATAAAAAGCAAATGATATAATAGGCCAAAAAACAAATCAACAAATATAAACATATTGGCATTTTCTTTTCTTTGAGAGAGAGTCTTTCTCTGTCTTCCTGGGGTTGAGTGCCCTGGCATCATCATAGCTTACAGCAACCTCAAACTCCGGGCCCTAAGCCATGTTCATGCCTTAGCTTCCACAGTAGCTGGGACTACAGACGCCCGCCAAAATGTCCAGCTAATTTTTCTATTTTTAGTAGAGATGGGATCTTCCTCTTGCTCAAGCTGGTCTTGAACGCCTGAGCTTAGGCAATCCAATGGTCTCGGCCTACCAAAGTGCTAGGATTATAGGCATGAGCCACTGTGTCCCACCATACTTGGTATTTTCAAAGTAGAAAACCAAAATAAAAGAATTTAATAGCCAACTGCAATGGTTTACACCTGTAATTCTAGCATTCTGGGAGGCCAAGGGGAGAGGATCCTTTCAGCTCAGAAGCTGGAGACCCTATCTTTACTAAAAATAGAAAAATGTAGCCCGGTATTATGGCTGGCCTATATAGTCCCAGCTCCTCAGGAAGCTGAGGCAGGAGGATCAATTAACCAGGAATTTGAAGTTGTTATGAGCTATGACACCATAGCACTCTAGCCTGGGGTAACAAAGTGAAACTTGGACTAAAAAAAAAAGAAATTTAAAGGCTGGTGAGATGCCTTATACCTGTAATCTTAGCACTCTGAGAGTCTGAGGTAGGTGAATTGCCTAAACTCAGGATCTGGAGACCAGCCTAAGCAAGAGCTAGAACTGGTCTCTGTAAATAGCAGGGCATTGTGGCTGGCACCAAAGAGTCCCAGCTACTCAGAGTGCTAAGGCAAGAGGATTGCTTGAGCCCAAAAGTTTGACACTGCAATGAGCAATGATGCTTATGGCACTCTACTGAGGGCAACAAAGTGAGACTGTCTCAAATTTAAAAAAAACAATTTAAAAACTGGTTTCAATATAATTCACGAAATAAAAGAAAAACTTAAACTAGAAATTAAAAGATGACGGCATATTCAGGGAAAAGTAACTTATATCTCATTTCTTTAAAATAAAATTCTGGGCTCCGCACCTGCAGCTCAAGCAGCTAAGCTGCCAGCCACATGAACCAGAGCCAGCAGGTTCCAATCCAGCCTGGGCCTGCCAAACAACAATGACAACTACAATCAAAAAATAGCCAGGTTTTGTGGCGGGTGCCTGTAGTCCCAGCTGCTTGGGAGGCTGAGGCAAGAGAATCACTTAAGAACAGCTGTGAGCTGTGATGCCACAGCACTCTACCCAGGGTGACAGCTTGAAATTCTGTCTCAAAAAAAAAAATAAACAAAATTCTGTTACTGGGTTGCAAAAATGTGTAGTGAAACAAAAGAACTGACCACATCTAAGGAGAACAAAAAACAGCGGAGCAGTGGCTAGAAAAGAAACCAGGTCTGAAAAATTTCATACCCAATAGATTTGCAATTCTAGTATAAGGTTACTGAGAAGACCTTTTTAAATTGCAGCAGAGAAAATAATTCCAAACTTCTCATTAGACAAGGAATTAATAACCAGAATATAAAAGAGACTCAAACAACTCAACAGAACACAAAACATCAAAATCTGTTTAAAAATAGGCCAGTAGCCTAAATAGAAGCTTCTTAAAAGAAGACACACAAATGGCAAACAGGCATATAAAAAAGGATTCAATATCACTAATCAGAGAAATGCAAAAAAAACCTACAATGAGATGACATCTCACTCATTTAAAATGGCTTTTATCAAAAAGACAGGGAATATGTGCTTTCTTAGGCAGCACATATACCAAAATTAGAACAATACAGAGAGATTAGCATGTTCCTTGAATAAGGATGACATGCAAATTCATGAAGCATTCCATATTCATAAGCATTCCAAACTTCCATAAAGTTTGGAAGAGCTTAGAGCTTAACAACATTGTTTGGATCCATGAATATGGAATATCTCTACATTTATCTAGTTTTTCTTTGATTGCTTTCACCAGGCTTTTATGTTTTTTGTCATATAGATCTTGTACATATTTTGTAAATGTATGCCTTTTTCATTTCTTTTGTTGCTAATATAAATGTTTTTAATTGCAAATGTCACTTATTAATTGTTGAAATATAGGAAAATGGTTGAATTTTGTATATTAAAGACAGTTTCGTTTCTTCTATCCTAAAAAAAAAAAAAAAGACAGACAGACAAGGAATAACACATGCTGGTAAGAATGTGGAGAAAGTAGAACCCTTATATACTATTTGTGGGATGTAAATTAGTATAGCCATACTAGAAAATCGTATATAGAGGTTCCATAAAAACTAAAAAGAATCCATCAATTCTACTATTGGGACATGTATATTTGGAAGAATGGAACTCAATATATCAAAGAGATATCTGCAATGTTATGTTTATTGCAATACTATTCACAATACCCAAGATCAACCTAAGTGCCCACCAATGGATAAACAAATAAAGAAAATGTGGTATATATACATATATATGTAATGGAATATTGTTCGGCCACAAAAAAAAAAATGAAATCCAATCATTTGCAGCAACCTGGATGGATGGCTAGAGAGAGAGAAAGCGAGAGATAGGAACCGAGGGATTGATAGTGCAGGAGGGTAGGAGCTTCTTTACAGTTAAATGTCAATTAATAAGTCATCATTTTACAACCATGATGACAAAATTTGGTTTGAAAAGGAATCATTTATGAATGCTAAATCCAAAAGAGGAAATATTGAATAAGGAGCAGTCTATTTGTATGGCCTTAATATCTCATGTTAGTTGCTTGTTACATAGCCAATAAATGTAAGAAGAAAAAATAGTAACTATATAGTGGTGAAATTCAACAAGCAATCAAAATAAACATTACTAGGCAGCGCCTGTGGCGCAAAGGAGTAGGGCACCAGCCCCATATGCCAGAGGTGGCAAGTTCAAACCCAGCCCTGGCTAAAAACTGCAAAAAAAAAAAGATTCTCCAAAATTAACATTACTAGTCCAGAGACACCAGAGAGATTAAAGGTCCCTAAATAACACCCTCAAAACAATAGGACCTCAATCTCACTTATATTAATATAAAAATTACTGCATAGTCTAAATTCTATTTTGAGGAAAGATTAAATAAATTGAGGCACATTCTATGAATGAGCTCAGTTTATATTATTCAAAAAAAAAAAACAATGTCATGAAAGGCTAAGAAACTACATTAGAGGGAAAAAAAGATGCCACTAAATGCAATCAATATGTGATCCTGGACTGAGTCTTAAGGCTGAAGAAAAAAATATGCTGTACAGCACAGTATTAAGAATAATTGACAAAATATAGATACATTAAACTACCGCATAAAAGAGCCAGGTGCAGTGGCTCATATCTTAGCACTCCGCACAGCCTAGGCAGGAGGATTGCTAAAGGATAGGACTTTGAGATCAACCTAAGCAACATACCAAGACCCTGTCTCTACAATAAACAGAAAACACAACTGGACCTGATAGCACATACCTGTAGCCTCAGCTACTCAGAGCCTGAGGAAGGAGGATTGACTAACCCAGGAGTTTGAGGTTACAGTGAGCTATGATGATGGTACTGCACTCTAGCCCAGGCAACAGACTGGCTTGTGACTTCCAAGAGAATTATGTTTATTTTAAAAAAGTACATACTAAGGGCTGGGCAAGGTGGCTGATGCCTGTAATCCCAGCCCTTGGGAGGCTGAGGCGAGTGGACTGCCTGAGCTCACAGGTTCAAGATCAGCCTGAGCCAGAGTGAGACCTCATCTCTAAAAATAGCTGGCTTTGTGGTGGGTGCCTGTGGTCACACCTACTTGGAGGCTAAACCAAGAGAATCACTTAAGCCCAGGAGTTTGAGGTTGCTGTGAGCT